CAAAGCTTGTAACTATGGTACACTCTGCCCTTCAGTGCATGTATGCTGACGTCAAGGCCGCGCCCGATTTGGCGGATCTACCGAGATGCATTTTGCTTTTCGATGGCTGATTTTGAAGCGCTTGCTGAAACCCCGTCGTTTAGAACAAAAAATATAGCCGCCCGCTTAAAATACAACCATGCGATAATCAATTACAGGTTTAGCTCATCCCATTCAACTTGTTTCTTGATGTTTTTTGTATATTTCAAGTTTCGATTCAGTATCCCTTTGAAGTATTTTTTCTGGTACTTTCCGAGGAAAGTAAAAATCCTGACTTCAAAGTACATAAAATGTACTCTGTCTCCTTCCCGTGTTGTCTTTGCGCTACATTGTAATTATTCAAAGTACATTCCCCAAATTTGGTCTCTGTGAAAGCTCTTTCAAGTTCACCAACCTTAAAGACTGATGACTAGTTCGTGCCTTCCACTTTTCCCTCGCTTCCTCCTCTCCCCCCTTCTACACGGTCCGCCCTTGCCTGTTTCCTCCTCCCCAAAGTGAGGAAGATCTTCTGCCTTGCAGAATCTCCAATCTGGTCGTCGGCCTTAAGAGGAAAAAAGAAAAGGCTTATAGTCCTGTGAAAACACACTTATCTTTCGAGACGTCATCTGGTCATTTTCCTCAGTGAAGTAATGGCAGCTATAAGACTGGTACAAATAAGTGCCTCAAAAAATATTTGTATTAAATAGTTTGTAAGCGAGAGTAAACCAACTACTTTGTGGCCACTTCACTTTATCCAAAATTCACTGCCATTTCCTAAAATACCTGATGCACCCTCGTTACCCCTGGGGCAATACATATCAGTTAAAAAACAAACAAAAAAACTTTATAGGGATTGGAGGACATCATGACATATTGTGTTAAAAAAGTACTTGTACTTGACTTTGGAAGTGTTGTATTTATCGTACTTTACTTCAACATTGCGCCCGGTGTACATACTACTTTACTTCAAGTACTTTTCTTTTATGTACTTTACCCAACACTGTCCATCTTGAAGGTAGTTTGTCACTTTGCAATTCAGTGGAGTTGCTTGATAGCCTATCTCCGCTTCACCAGAAGGCCTGTGCTTTCATGCCCCTAGATGTAAAAGATTTATATTTTCTGTACCTGAGTATGGTGAGAGACATTCTCGAGCTGAATTTAGTTTATTTTCAAGATCAAGCGGGGATTTCTGTTGACATGTTATTGCGACTCTTGAACTGTTATTTAAGGTTCAACCATGGTAAAGTTTAACGGAGAGCATTTTACTCAGCGGAGAGGTGTGTGTATCCGCTGTTGTCTGAATTTTATCTCATTGTGTTAGACAGGCATGTGACATCTTTTGAAGAACCTTTGGAGGTAGGAAGCTTGATTGTTCGCAGATTTTTTAACGACATATTAATCTGCGCCCCAAATGAATACTATGGAAGTAAGGTTCGAAATGATATTATTGAAGTAGCACCAGAGTTAAGGGTTCACGGCTGGTTTTACGGTAACGGGGAAGTTCCAATTTCTAGATTACAGTTGTTAAATGGTAAAAGTTTGTGTTTGTTTTATGGAAAAGGGGAACCAAAGAGGGTCTTAACTAGAGACTGTCCTTTCAGAACTTGTAAAGGTTGGCGTTGTACAGTCCCTTAGAGGCAATGCTGTAAAAAAGTTGTGTATTCATTGTGTTGGCAGTGCGCTCGTGAGACAGTTGGAGCGGTTCAGGCTAGCTGGGTATAGTTTGGATTTTTTTGGATCGATTTTGCGTAGATAAATTGTAGAACGGCCTAAAGGCTCTGAGGGGATTCCAAAGAGAAATGTTGTTGTAGTTTCATATTTTTACAGGTTTTTGCATATTCTTAGAGCAGTGGTTCTCAAATGGGGGTCCGTGGAGCCTTTGGGGTCCGCGAAGACATTCTAGGGGTCCGCGAAGCCCTGCGTGCTCAGTCAAACCCGGCAATAAAAGTTGTCTTTTTTCAGACAGAGAAGAATTTTTTTTTTTTTTTTCATTTTCGGGCGAGTTTTTTTGTGTGTATGTCAATAAGAGAAGTCTACTTCACACTAGCCCTTAGTTATATCTATTTTATATCATTATTATATTTAACCTATACCTTTTTTCTCCCCTCACCGCAAACGGGGTCCTCCATCACCTCCGCCGATCTACAAGGGGTCCGCGAAACATCGATGGTTGAGAACCAGTCAGAGCTTTGGCTCAGAAGTTCGAAGTAAATGTCGTTTTTAAGGCGGATTTCCGCTTAGGTATTCTTACACTGTTCGCATTTAAACAAAAAAGATTTGTGTGAAAAAAAAAAATATATGAGGATTCTTCAATTGGTTGCATCAAGCAAGTTGTGTACAAAATCCTGTTTGATTGTGGACTCTGCTATGTGGACCAGACAGGTTGGTGTGTGAATGACTGCCTCTTAGAACACAAAAGTCTAAAAAATGTTTTGTCATTATGGAAAAAAAAAAAAGAAACACTTCAACCTTGTGCAAAAAAAAAAAAAGAAAGTGATTCTTTCAAAAGAATTTTAGAGGAAACCTTGAGTACAAAGGGCCACGGATAGTGTGTGAGCCAGCCGTCTATAGTTTTGAACAAGCGCGCGAGAAAGTTTCTTCTGATGTGAGTTTTTGTTGTCGTTGAGGTATGGGTTGTCAGAAAAAAAAAGGGGGGGGGGGGGGGGGGCGTTGCTTGGTTCACATAGCCTTGATGAGGCTTATATCTTATTTGGTAGCTTGGCAGCGGGTATCTGCTGGTGGTGGGGTGTTTGGGTGGAGGCAACGTTACTAAAACACTCAGTTGGGAAACTGCCGTAGAGACTGCTCTGAAAAAGTGGCCCCAATCTGTCCTCGACAACCGAGCTAATGGCGACCACAACGCCGCCATTTCTCCCGCAGCGGCCACTCGAGGAACTGCGCGTCACTTCTATTTTGGATTTAATCGGCCATTTTGGAGCCGAAACAGATACAGCGGAAGAGGTTACAGGGGTGCCACCCCCGTATCCTTAGCGGACGCGCCGCGTCATACTACCGGAGTTAAAATGCACCTAGGTCGGGACGCGCTACCTGAAAGCACCACTGAGGCATGGTTGTATAAAAACAATGTTAATTGTGCCGCAAACCCTGCAAACTATAGATTTTAAAAACATCATGCGCCCATCATTTTGTACTAAACTCCAAAAAATCTCATAAAAAAAGGAGTCTTTTCCGTTTGTTTTTACGCAAAAACATGCTTTGTAAAAGCTCAAGGTGACCACAATACAGACAAATGATAGAGTGGCGCTGTTGTCGTATCTAGCTCGGTCTCGTTGGACGCCAGCGGCCCAAGTTTCGACGGCGAGTTTCCCAACTGAGTGTTTTAGGAACGTTGGGTGGAGGTCAGTCAGTCTAGCTCGGTTCCGCCATCTTTGCGGCTGCATGTCTTTTTGTCTTCTCTCTTTCCTGTTTGTGTGGACAGCTATAAATGGTGGTCCCCTTGCGAATGAATTCAGCCGCGTTTGCAATTATTTGTCGTCTTGTCCGTTATTTTATTTTTCCTTGTCTCATGGTTTAGATTATAATGTAATCATCTACAGTTTTTTTTTTATTTCTTTATTTGTAAATAAATACTGTGCGCTCTCTCGGGTGCTTTACAGCAGTGGAACGTTAAATTCCATACATGTCATATCGTGCAATATGATATACATTTCTTAACACCTTATACATTTCATATCAATATGCTGTTTTTGCATTTATGAAAAAGGCCTTCAGGCATTTAATTAATTAAAAAATATATATAATTGCTTATCGGGATCGGAATGAGCTTTCATTTTTTTAATATTTTGTATTTTTGTAATACTTCCTGGCATGCTATTTAATATCTCTAAATTGAGAGTATGGCAAGTGTAGGCGACACTGAAGCCAACATTAAAATAAGCCCCTCCCCCCCTCTTTTTTCCACAAGGGAAAAAATAAATAAAGAGGAGATAAAGGAAACATCCCGCACCAATCTGTGTGACGAGTCTAAAGCTTGTACAGTGGCGCCATCTTTAGTGGAGGGGGCGAACGATGTAATGTTGTTGGCTACGGAGTTTAACACCAGATGGCGGCACAGTAGGAGCAAAATACGCTCAACAAGGCGCTAGGGTGCCCGACGTTGAGAGGGCCTACGAAGCGCAGCCCGCCGACGTCTAACCGTGGCCGCATTTGTTTGGTGGAAGTTGCTTCATAATTTAGATGCGTGTATAAGTATAGTAACTTCAATCTGACCATTTCGTCGATTGTGCCAACTAAAATTCCTTTCCTAGCTACTAATCCGAATTTGAGAGCTGCCTGATTAGGGAGCTTTAATCTTTGATGGAAGGTGATGCAAAAGTGAACACTTCTTTATAGTGGGATTAATTTTATCGATAGCGAACGCTAAACGTAATTTCTGACCCATGGTAATAAAAACAAAACAAAAATATAAAGTAGGCTCGTGTACCGACATAATAAATTTCGCGTCTGGATTTGAGGATCTGGGAGACCCAACCTAGGCTGAGGGTGGTAGTCGCAGAGTCTGTCCGAAGTACTAAGTGATTCGTAGTTTGCTTTCGGCGCCGCGAAGTGACAAGGAAACAGCTGAAAAAGGCGCTGCTGGCAGCTACGATTCAAGGCGCCTGGCGCGCGATTTCGCCTGCGAACGTCGCTAGTTTACGCCTAGTTTTTGTGGACTGGGATTAGGTGTACTGAGATTTTCGCGGTCTAAACCAATATATTTCTAAAAAAAAAAAAGAGCGTTGCGGTTGCAGTTTTATGGTGGTGATTCTGCACAAACCTTTTTTAACAATCTGCATACCAACTAGGAGGAACACTTTCCGCGGGTTTCGCTTGTCTTTGAACCGTAGTCCAAGGATTCCCACCGCACGAATTAAAACAGCTTGTTGAAACGGACGTATTCATAGTTGGTGTTTTTGGTCGGAAATGTTGATCTGCCGACGTGGAGAAGTCTACCTCATTCCTATTTTCCGTGTTTTTTGCAGTCAAATCTGGACGTTGGATATGTGCCAGATTGTGCTACCTGCCATCTACGATCTGCTTCAAAGCAAATACGAATCGTAAGTAATGATTTGGGGTTTGATGAATTTTTACACGAACGTAGTGACCAAATGTTGGCAGACGGGCGTCAATGAAGGTTTTGATATTTGCACGCGATGTTTCGCATTGAATGGTGGCGGTCTGGTTCTCGCGGGTCTGCGCATTTGCCGGGGGTGTCGGGGTAATTAAGTGATCCATATGGGGTCATAAAATACCTCTAAGTGCATTTTATGGGAACATTAACATCATTGCCATTATTGGTTATATTCAACCAGACCGAAGACCGCAGGAAGGTATACAATTACCTACGAGCGCTGCACATACTTCATCGTTCAAAGATTTTTGTGTGGGTTCCATTAGAATCACTGAAGGTTCCATTAATGAAAGAAAAAAATAACTAAAACACAAGAAAAACAATAAAAAAATGCAAACCTTTTTTTCTTCTTTTTTTTTTTTTCCGAGTTACGTCGAGATGTTTTATAGATCTCTTCTCGTTTCTTGGTTCGACCGTGTGCTTCGTAGCAATTTCGAGTAAGCGTAACCTCGGCGTTCAATCCTATCTTCAAGATCACGATCGCTCGAGTGAAATGTCGGTTCACGAATATTCTGCGTGGGGAAACGCGCGTGTGCCGTTCTGGATTGTAGAGAATAAAGGCGCCAAGAAAACACGAAGGACAAATAGAAGGGCGACGTGCAGCACAGAGCGCTCTGGGGTGTACGTCGTCCTTCTGCTTGTTCCTTGTGTTTTCTTGGCACTTTTTATTATCTGCGATGTACAACCAACTCGCCCAAGTACACACCGTTCTGCCGTTCTAGATTCCCGCAGACCTGTTGATTTCGGCGATGGTCTTTAGTTTCCATAGTTAATTTCCGGGAAAAATGTTCTTCTAAAACTTCTATAAAGAGTGTTACGTTGACCACCTGGGAAGTGAAAAACACAACGTTTAGGGGAAAAAAGAATTGGCAGCGACCTTTCTCTTTTAGGGGACATTTAGGCCACGAGTCTTTTCTCTTTGATACATGGAAATAAAGTCTGCGGCTTCAGAATATCAGGTCAAACGCTCATTAACAAGACAAGTAAGGATCATGGCCCGGGGGGGGGGGGGGGGGGGGGGGGGCGGGGGGCGGCGGGCGGCGGGCACGAGCCCCAATGCCCCCGCCCCCCTCTCCCCGTAGTCTACGCCTATGTGTATGTGTGTGTTTTAAGCGTTGGTACAAGGCAAAATCGACGCTCGTTCGCGCTTCACAGGCTAGCGTCAGAAACGTCCCTGTACTATTCGTGCTTAGCGTGCATTAAGTCGGGTACAGATGTTCCGTTTTTTTACGGTAAACGTTCCTTGGCTAGTTGCTCCGCATTTCGTGCAGCCTTATAGGCGTGGCCGCGAAGCTCGATGCTGATTGGTTCACGGGGGAGCTCATGTGACCAGAGGGGTAGGCGAGGAGGAACTCAACCACCTGTGCGCAATGAGGGAGAGGATCTCGATAGTATGGACTCTGGAAGATCGCTAGGTTTATCAGCCCGATTGACAATAGTATCGCTTCATTCTAGGCAGTCGGCGTATCGCTAAACGTATGCGATTCTAGAACGCTTCACGTATGCAACACGATTGGCTAGCAATTCGCCACGCATTTTTCGTACTCGGACGCCATGAGATTAAATTGTAGAAGCGTTGATGGTACCGTTGAAATGGGCCGGGTTCGCTGTGCGCGGGCAGATGACGCCACGCTCTTGGGCGCGGCTTTGTGCGCTCGGCAAGCCGACGGTTCTGCGCTGGGTGGTCCCGGCCGAGTCGGCAGTGTCTCCAACGTGCCTCTCGATTGTCGTGCGTGGGGGGCGCGACGACAAGGATGTCGCCGCCGCCCTCCGGCATTGAGCGTGCGCACTGCGACACATTATTTATCACGCTCGAGCCAGCATTTTTTTGGCTCGGCGATGGCTCCTTGTCGTCGGAGGGGGGCTGTCACAGGGCCCGGGGGCCTCTTTTCTGGCGGTCCTCGGGATTATTTATTTGCGCGCAAGAAAGGATGCTCCGGAGCCCTGGGCCCCGCGCTGGGCAGGGCGGGTTCGCGTGGTGGGTCGCGGCCGCATTGTGCGCCGCCGTCACGGCTTCGGGCCGGCAGGGGGAACCCCCGGCCGCCCCAGATTTATGGCTTCGAGGCTTTTCAGCCGGGGGCGCCCTCCTCTCCCGGCAGTCGTCGTGTTCCGCCGCTTTATCGCATTGATCGTATTTGCGTTTATCGCGCAGAACGGAAGGCCGATTAACAGAGCGCGCTTAGTGAGCCGGCGGGCTCCCCCCTCCCCGTGTGTTGGTCCTGGGCGCCGCGCGCACAATGCGGGGGGTTGTTTGCATGCGCCGGTGGGCCCCGCTGCCCGCCCCGCCGGTGCCCGCACCTGCACTCGCTCCCCTCGGCCCGCGCTGGGTGGCGCCCCCGGAATGCCGGGCCGTCTTCCCCCGGGGTGCGCACCTTCGGCCGCTGGGCCCCGTCGCAGAGGGCGCACGGGCCCGCTGCCTTCGCGCCCGGGCCCATTGTTTGCCTCGCGCGAGCTCTGTCGCCTCTGTGCAGCCTGGACTCCGACGAAGGGAGAGAGGGCTGGCGTAGTTACTCTCGAGTGCGTTTGCGTTGGACACGCACTGGAGGCCAAATCAAAGTCCCTCCCTCGCTCTGGCGCTGTGTGCGTGGCGCGCTCTTAGGTGGCCCGTTTGTTGGCCCAACATTCCCAACTCGTGATTTCGTTTTTTTTTTAGCTTCCTTTTGCCGATTTTTTATTATTTATTTATTGATTAAGGCGAGCGGTGTTCAACAGCTACATATAAAAGTGGCCCGGGCAGGGAATGTCTCTTTCGATAAATAATATATCATTCGGCGAAAAGTTTTCTTCTTTTTTTTTTACCGTTTTGTTTTTTGCGTTTTTTTTTTTCCGCCCACGCGGCTTTCTGGCGATCTTTTTTTGCGCTCTAAAGACATGGATTGCATGGACAAGCCCGTGCAATTTCAAGCTTGCCAAAGTTGTGTTCACGCGCAAACTGCTCGTAGTTGCGCGTATGGGGCACCAGTCGGGGCGCCACGCTTGCAGTTGTCTCTGTTTACTCTTCAAGTTCGTGCATCCACTGGAGCAAGACGGAATGGAGCCCATCTATGCTTCTCCCGGCTCCAAGTCCACTTTGCGATTTTCTGGTTTTAACGTTTTTGTGGGGAAGTTTTTTCTGGTCGTAATTTTCTTTCCGGCGTCACTGAGCTAAGAAGTCTTAATTCCGAAGTATATACTTCCGAAGTACATAACATTATTGGCAGTCTTTCTTTCTCTTTGTGTGTGTGTATGTGTGTGTGTGTAAAGGGTTTGGGGGGGGGGGGGGGGTAAGCGTAGCTTTTTTTTTTTTTGCTGCACTAAAATGTCACGAAGAAACAAGTTTGACAACATAGACGCAGCAGAGCTTTTTTTTTATTATTTTATTTTTTCTCGGGTATTTCCACGGAAGAAGTGCGTAATTCAGTGACCAGTTATTTCTGGTGTAATTGAGACACCGTCCTAATTGGCTCAGAAACTAAATCCTTGGACCCGTTGAAACAAATCAAAATAATAAATAGCTAAAAGTAAACGACCGCTTTCCAGCTAAATGCTCTGTGCTTTTTCTTTTTTCCGCTTAATGTTTAGTTAACATAGTGCTCGATCAGCGATTGTCCTCGAGGAAACATTTGCCGGGCACGACAACGCGTCGAGCCGCCTTGCGTCAACGCCTCCCCCGCGCTGGTTCCCACGACGTGCCACGACGCCTTGTTCTCATGTCCGTCGCTCGTTTGACGTTTCGTCGCGGCGTGTCGAGCGTCGCGAGCAGGGGCGCGTCGAATCGGCAGCACGGCGCGAGACCCAAGGGGGAGATTGGTTCCGCCGAGGTCCCGATGAAGATGTCACGGGGACTGGTCCCCCGCTGCGGAGGAGGGAGCAGCTCGGGGGACTTCACGGGGAGACGACCTTTTGTCGGGCTGCCGGGTTTCGTAGTGCTCAGGGCCTACCTCTCCCGATAGATGGCTGTCGGTCGCCCGTCACTTGCCCGCCGCTGGTGCGCGTTGACTCCAGACTGTTAGTCGCGAGGCGTCCAGCGAACCGTCGAATAATTCGAGACGGCCCGTCTCCTTCGAGGATGCAGGTAGACGGTTCACTTGGGTCGAGTGGTTCCGCGCCGCCTCCAGACTCAATCGCTGCGTCACTGGCAGCGCGATGCACGTTTCGCTGATTGACACGTGAGCATCGGTTTGTCAACCGCTGCACCCTTTTTTTCATTGACGTAGCTACGTGTGCGTGAATTGATTCTAAACTTTCGCGGCTTGCATCCTGGTCACTCTAGTCTCTTGGAAGATAAAAACTACTCAGGAAGCTCCTCCTCCACCTTGAGTTTTCGACCTTCGGTTGACACTTGGTTGACACACACAACGAAAGGAAACGAGCTGGAGGCGGAGGTTCTCATGCGGATCTGATGTCTCAGCAAACTGCAGGCTCTGGCGCGTAATGCGAAGTATTATTTATTTTTTTCTTCTTTAGAGAATAGTCTTTACTATGAGCTTCATTGATGAGTGTCGTGCGTACGTGGAGATAATTTTTTGTTGGTGTTATAAAAGGAAGGAGTGTGACGAAGCGGAACAGTCGCTCGGGAAGCCCTCTCTGTCATTCGCTGCTGGATCGTGCTCTTCCTGGGCGTTTGTGCGTCGTGCCAAACACTCTCGAACGGCTGCAGCGGCCGACCCATCGCGCCCGTCCTCTGCTGCCGCGTCCCGAGCGAGGGCGCCTGCTGACGAGCGCCGGACGGTTCAAGTCCGTTCCTTTGTGTGCGGCCCGGAGTCCGAGCGCGAGCGGCGGCGTCCGCGGGCCCCCCCGCGTCTGTGGGACTCGGCCCTGGCTCCCATTGTGACTTCTTTGTCGACCAACGATCGATGCTATCGCCGCCTTTGAAACGCATCCCTTTTTTGCGCGCCAGCCCGGGCCATTCTTGGCAGCTCAGTGTCGCGCCGAACAACCGGGCGC